CAGTTTTGGATGCAATGGAGCATAGATCAGTCTGGTTTGTCCTCTTCATTTTTGCAAGGTGAGAGCCAGTTTATGAATATCAAATATGATTCAAGATCATTCCAGATCCCATGAAGTGCTCCTCTGAGATTCAGGACTCACTTTCACACCATTCTGGGCACATCTCAGTGTAATGTTGTACCAGTGATGCCCCATTTTGTCCCTTTCTCTTGATTTAGCATACTCCATCTTCATCCTGACACAGCTGGGCTTCTGCAGCTCGCGCTATTACAACAACGCAGCATTTGAGCCAGGAGGTCCCGATGCGTCGTGACGCGTCGGGTGCCCACCGCCTGGGTGGCACCATGCACCCACAGACATAGGGCTGTCATCCCAGGTGGCGAAGCGGTGGAGATGGAGGAGTGCGCCCCAACACGGTGAGCTGGAGACACAGCAGAAGTTCACAAGCGTCATCCTGCTGCTGTTTCCATGCCGCCGTCCGGACTGAGCTGGGCTGCTTGTGCAGATTCCCCTGCTGCTGTGCACAAGTGTGAGGTTTGCTCCCAGAAAGCTGATCAACCAGCACCCCCTTCTGGTAGATGCATCAGTATGATGTTCCCTTGTTATGGAAAGTGAAGTAGTTTTGTCCAGTGGAGTATCGGTGGAGTCCTCGCGAATTGTGAGCCATATATCCTTGGCGAGTGTGTGGGACGCCCACACCGGTCCGGTGGCGTCTGGCGGGCAGCTGGCGACAGAAGCTGGCGGGAACAGCTGGGGGCGGACAGCTGGCGGAGTTTCTGGCGGGAGCGGCTGGTGGGATCAGCTGGTGAGAACACCTTACGGGAGCAGCTACGGGAAGTGTCTGCGGGAGGCCGCTGGCGGTAGCGTGGCTGGAACGCTTGCGGCTGAGCAGCTTGCGGGGGTGTCTAGCGGTGCGGCCCGGGAACCGCCGCGATGCGTGGGCCGTTGTCTGACTTCGCTGACACCTGGCCGGCACTGCAGCACACTGTTTGACACAGCGTGGTTGCAGTGGTGGCGAGGATTTCCTACCGCATGGCCGCCAGTACTCGAGCTTCACGCAAACCCTGCTCCGAGGCCTGCCTTCCAGATCCTCAAACGGTGCGTATACCTGCCCTGTGCCTGTCGGGCTCGCCAACGATGGGTGCGCAATGCTAGTAGCCGACCGCATTGATGATTGCAAATTGTGATATCAATATTCATTGCAATAACGTACGTCGGGGAATGCTCGGATTCATTGGCACCGGTTTTCTCAAGCTGGAGTTCGCAATTGCTCTTGTGAATCGTTCGTACTACAAAGGGGATGCGATCCGCGTTGTTGTCGTTTGTGACATCCTTCGAGCGGTTGTGCAGTCGGTCTGCTCTCCAGAAACTCCTGTGCCCCCGCTCACGACGTGGCCGTGGACGCGTGGCACCGCTTGTCACGGACACACGCGTGGGCCAACTGACGTCATGCTGTTCGTCATGAATCTGAGCTACGTCTGTGGTTGTCGTGTGTTCACGAGCGTCGTGTGTGTACAACAAGCCGCGGGTCTGGGTCTGCAGCGAAGCTGTGCCCGTATCCATGCCGGAGCCGAGTCGGTCTGGTTCTCTCCGCCCGTTTGTCCCACGTACCCCTGTGACGCGTGCTCCTGCGACTGCCCGGCACTGCCCCGCTTCCTCGGTGTCTGCGCGGCGTGGTCGCTGTTTCCACCGTGGTCCTGCGAAACTGACCCAGGCTGTGGCGCGCGTCGTCGCCCAGCTGACCGGGCGTGTGCCGTGGCGCAGGACGCGGACGCTGCGGCGCGGCGCGGCACGGCGCCGATCGGCCGACGGCACGCTGCGCTCCTACCACGGCAACCATCCGCAGCCATCGACGTGGCCCGTACGAGCCGGCCCGCGCCCGGCGCCTGGCGCCGGGAGGCGCCGGCGCCGGGCAGGGGGCTGTGCGGAGCGTCCTACGGGCGACGACAGGGATAGTCACCGGTGCCGGCGGCCGGGAGGCACCGGCGCCGGGCAGAGGGCTGTACGGAGCTGTCTCACGGGCGCACAGGATAGTCACCGATGCTGGGGCAGGGGGAGGGAGAGTGGGCCTGTACGGAGCTGCCCCAGGGCTGACAGCGGGGATAGTTACCGGTGCCGGACGCAGGGAGGAGAGCTGTACGAGCTGCCCCCCGGGCGGTGGCGGGATAGTCACCGTCACCAGGGAGTGGGGGGGGGGGGGGGAGGGCGGTACGGGCTGCCCCAAGGGCAACAGCGGGGATATCACCGACGCCGCTCGTGGCGAGCTGTGGTGGTGCGGGGGGTGTGTTTGTCGCGATGTTCTCTGAGAGGTTCGTTCAAGCGTCAAGAGAGGTCTTGCTCCCTGCAGGCCGTGATTCACGAGCGCTTTCTGATGACTGGGCGCTGTTCTGCGGAAACAGCGTCTGTCCTTGGACGCTGAACAAGTATCTTTGCGGTGCTTGTGTGTTATAATTGCAAAGCGCTTAAAGCCTCCTTGTGGTAGGCCGGCAGGAACCCTGACGCGTTCTCTGCGGCAACCGTGCTCTCTCCCCTGAGCGATGACGTGCTCTCTGCGACAGCCGTGCTCTCCCCCTGAGCGATGACGTGTCCTGTGACAGTCTGCTCCTCTCTCCCGGAGCCCTGACGTGTTCTCTACGGCAGCCGTGCTCTCCCCCTGAGCGATGACGTGTTCTCTGCGGCAGCTGTGCTCTCCCCCTGAGCGATGACGTGTCTCTGCGGCAGCCGTGCCCTCCCCCTGAGCGATGACGTGTTCTCTGCGGCAGCCGTGCCCTCTCCCTGAGCGAGGACGTGTTCTCTGCGGCAGCCGTGCTCTCTCCCTGAGCGATGACGTGTTCTCTGCGGCAGCCGTGCTCTCTCCCTGGGCGATGGCGTGCTCCTCCGCAGCAGTTGCGTTCTCTCCCTGAGCGATGACCTGGCCCTGCCCCCAGCGGCGGTGACGACGTGGACGCTGTGGTGGACGCCATCCAGGAGGGCGAGGGCTCCATAGCGGACGCCAACATGGCCCGCGAGGTGGAACTGTGAGTTCGCGAGCAGGCAGGACCTTACTGTAACGTCCGCGTCCCGTCCGGGCCCAGCTTGCCTGCGCTTTCTGCGGCTGTTTGGTCTTCATGCCGAGGAGCATCTGTGTATGAGTTCGCGTGTGATCCAGCACTAAGCTAGGCTAGGCTAGGCTAGGCTAGGCTAGGCTAGGCTAGGCTAGGCTAGGCTAGGCTAGGCTAGGCTAGGCTAGGCTAGGCCAGGCTAGGCTAGGCTAGGCTAGGCTAGGCTGGCTAGGCTAGCTAGGCTAGGCTAGGCTAGGCTAGGCTAGGCTAGGCTAGGCTAGGCTAGGCTAGGCTAGGCTAGGCTAGGCTAGGCTAGGCTAGGCTAGGCCAGGCTAGGCTAGGCCAGGCCAGGCCAGGCCAGGCCAGGCTAGGCTAGGCTAGGCTAGGCCAGGCCAGGCCAGGCCAGGTTGGGGTAGGCCAGGTCAGGCGCGACCGGTCTAGGCTGCGCTAAGCCGGACAGATGAGCTCGGGCACTGAACTGCATCACATCACGCTGCCTTGATGGGACTCGGCTGTGTTCTGTGCTGTTGTCTTGGTCCGGTCCGGTCCTGTCTATCGTCAGTCGTGGCTAGGTCAGGTTCAGTCCACCGTCTGTCGTGACTAGGTCAAGGTCCGTCTGTCAGCTGTCGGGGCTACGCCAGGTCCCGTTCGTCAGCAGCTCCTAGATGCGGTCCAGTCCACCGTCTGTCGTGACTAGGCCCTGTCAGGTCCGGTGCAGTGCGGCACGTCTCCCGTCCGTGTCGCCGCTCTGACCTACCTGACCTGACCTGACCTGCTCCTCCCCCGGCCAGCAACACGCTGCGGGAGATGCGCGGCCGCTGGCCTACAAGCGGCAGGTGAAGCAGCGCCTGGAGCAGCGGGACCGGCACAGCAGCAGCCGGGGTCGGCCTCGGCTCCCGCATGGCCAGCTCCGTCCACTACTCCCTGGTGCAGGTGAGGACGCGGCCAGCTCCGCCCACTACTCTCTTGGTGCAGGTGAGGACGCGCTAGCTCCGCCCACTACTCCCTGGTGCAGGTGAGGACGCGGCTAGCTCCGTCCACTACTCCTGGTGCAGGTGAGGACGCGGCTGGCTCCGCCCACTACTCCTGGTGCAGTGAGGACGCGGCCAGCTCCGTCCACTACTCCCTGGTGCAGGTGAGGATACGGCCATCTCCGCCCACTACTTCCCTGGTGCAGGTGAGGACGCGGCTAGCTCCGTCCACTACTCCCTGGTGCAGGAGGATACGGCCAGCTCCGCCCACTACTCCTGGTGCAGGTGAGGACGCGGCCAGCCCGTCCACTACTCCCTGGTGCAGGTGAGGATACGGCCAGCTCCGCCCACTACTCCCTGGTGCAGTGATGAGGACGCGCTAGCTCCGCCCACTACTCCCGGTGCAGGTGAGGACGCGGCTAACTCCGCCCACTGCTCCTGGCGCAGGTGAGGACGCGGCTGGCTCCGCCACTACTCTCCCTGGTGCAGGTGGGGACGTGCGGCCGTCGCCACTCGCCGCTCGCTGCTGCTGGTGCTGGTTGGAAGTTCTGCATTGTTCAACCCAAACCATCACACAAGTGCACCACCGTTTTAGAGTCGTGTAAGAGGAACATTTCGCGTATCGCTCCCGGGTGCGGATATTGAGAAGGCCATGCAATGCGGGGATGAGTGTCGGCAGCCTGTGAGGCGGGTGAATCGGCTGAGGGGTGGTTCTGCGCTGCGCCTGTAAGGTACTTTACGCCGCGCCGCGCCACGCCACGTGATGTCACGTCACGCCACATCACGTTTTATCATGTCACGTCACGTCACGCCACACTACACCACGTCTCGTCACGTCATATCACATCATGCCACGTCACGTCATGTCACGACACATCATGTCACGCCACGCGACACCACGTCACGTCATGTCACATCATGCCACGTCACATCATGTCACGACACATCATGTCACGCCACGCGACACCACGTCACGTCATGTCACATCATGCCACGTCACATCATGTCATGCTACGCCATGCTACACCTCGTTCTGTCACGTCACGTCACGTCACGTCCCGGTCTCAGACCCAGAGATGTCTGACGTCCCGAGGCAGGTGTGCGGTGCCGGTGCCTGCCCGTCCTGGGGGAGCGCCCTGACCCCTTCCCGCCTCCCCTCCCCCCGGCAGGCCCGCCGCTCGCTGGGCGACCTGGCCGAGTTTCTCAAGCTGTGGAAAGGTCACCTGCAACGGGTGCGCGGACAGCTGGGCAGCGGTGTCGCCACCTACTTCCAGTTTCTCGAGTCGCTCTTCTACATGAACCTGGCCACCGTCGTCATCGTGTGAGTCGGGGCTCAGGGGTCCAGCGCGCGCTGTTGTCCGGGGGGGGGACGCTGTCGGGGGTGAAGGCGAGGAGGGACGCTGTCGGGTGTGAAGGCGAGGAGGGACGCTGTCGGGGGTGAAGACGGTGATGTGAGCGGGTGAACGCCCGTAATGAGATGACCGTAACACGAAACAGATGACGTAACACGAAACAGATAACACGAAACAGCCGCAACGCGAAACAGATGACCTGTAGCGATGATGATATCACGTTCCGAAAGGGATTGCGTGGTTAGGACGTGGTCTTCGACCAACAGTGTCGTTGACCGGTCGCTGGTTTTCAAATGACGGTTTTGACGAAACTGAGTGGACCCTTGGGAAGGTCGCGACACGGTTCGGTTACGGAGCGAAACAGTTGTCGAAAGGATTAGGTGTAGTGCAATGCAAACCCGCGGGGGTGCCGGTGGCGTAGTGGTTAACACGTCTGCGTTAACCATTGCGCGTCTGGGAAACCAGAGGTACGGGGTTCGATTCCCCGCAGTGCCCGCCCTTCCTACCGGGGTGAGAGGCAGGTGACGCCATGTAGCCTCAGCAGCTGGGTACG